AGATATAGACCCGTGAGTTCATTCTCTCATGACTATCTATGACTCCGTCCTGATAGCCCTGGCAGAACATACCGCCTGTGAATCCGACTTATGCGATTCTCAACCTGCTTTCCGAGGTTTGTGACACGCTAGTAGATCCTCGGGATCCTCGAAGTCAGGACGAAAGTTACCAGAATCAACTCAAGGACCTTGGCGGAAGGGTCCGAGATATCTCCGTCAAAACAGCCATACCATCGGCTTCAGACCCTGAGGCCGCCTTCGCTATTGAACTATACCAGATGGCGACACAAATTTATCTCGTACGAGCCTCGCAGAGCCCATGGGAGCCACCTGCGAACCTTGATGCTCTGGTGGAGGCGGCTTTCGCGGGACCTGTTCAGTCATGCACCTGCGAGCACTTCTTTCCTCTACTGATTCTTGCTTGCGAGGCACAACGTGACGAACAGAGGATCGGCATCATCAACTTAATCGAAAGAACCCAAAGAGATGTTCGAATACGAAGCATACAAGCAGTCAAGAATACGATACAGTCCATTTGGGTGCAGCAGGATCTGCACAAGGATGATGATGTGTTGGTGGATTATCTTGGCACTTTGAGTTCGGCGATCAGCTCCAGCAATACTGTACCATCATTCGCATAGATTGCAGAACACCATTGAACAACAGTGATGGCAACGAACACACTGAGAAAAATACCGAGAATACAATGGTATCGTCGTTTCGGGGTTTTTAACTACGGCCGCACAACAGGTGTTGTTCACGAGACCCTCCCAGGAGCAGTAATAAAGGAGGTGGTTTCCTAGCATTACTGTTACAACCCTGTCTTCAAGTCTTTACTACGCTTAGTCTGGAATGGGGATAGATATTGGCAAAGAACAGAAGAGGCAAGTTCGCCCATGACTGAGGAGAGGGGGGAAGTCTCACTTTTAGGGATAACATAATTTCTCGCGATGAGTAAAGGGTGGGTTTCTGCCCGTGACGGCTATGATCATTCTGAGTTCGAGATTTTTCAGCATGCAAGTTGCTTTGGTTCTGTTCGACGGAGTTGGGGTGCCTTTTCTAGTCCGTCTGCGCTAAAAAAAACATTTTGCTTCCGTTTTGCTGTAAGCCTCCTACGAGCCCGGAGCCAAAATACATCCGGTCTGCTTCACGTCTCGAATAACGCCACGATCGTTTGCGGCATATCAATAATTTCGATAGTAAGGTTATGACTCGGAACCTTTATTCCCACTCATATATAAGAGCTGTTGTCCGCGCTTGTTCCTGGCCTATTTAGCAATACATCATACAGTAACGGCACGGCACCCTTCAACCGAAATAAATTCCACTCGATTAAAATTCTTAGACATCACATCTTTTTCTACGTCAAATATCCAACGCAAACATGCCCTCTCTGACTCGTGTTGCTCACATCGGCGTAAGTACTGTAAGATAACACTACTCGATCAGCTGCTCATAACTACTAGGCTGCTGGCTCCCTAGGCGCGGCTGTCCTCAAAGAGCTCGTCGACGCCGGTCTCGAAGTGACCGTGCTCTCCCGCACCACAGGAAAGCTCCCCACCGATCTCTCATCGAAAGTCAAAGAGGTCGCCGTCGACTTCACATCAAAGACCGCCATTGCGGACGCGCTTAAGGGCCAAGAAGCCGTCGTCAGCACGATTGGATCAGCTGGACTCTCCCTCCAGGAGACAGTGATCGAGGCCGCCATCGACGCGGGCGTCACCCGTTTCATCCCTTCAGAGTTCGGCAGTGACCTGCAGAACCCCCTCGCCCGTGCACTGCCGGTATTCGTCGACAAGGTCAAGATTGAGGACCTCCTAGAGAAGCGGGCCTCAGAGACAGGCCTGTCGTATACATTCATCTACAACAACCTCTTCCTCGACTGGGGTCTGAACGTCGGCTTCATTGCTGACGTGGCCGGCAAAAAAGCCACCATCTACAACGGGGGCTCATTTCCTATCAGCGTGACCAGGCTTTCGACCGTAGGAAAGGCTGTCGTCGCCGTGCTAGGAAACCCCAACGCGACGAAGAATCAGACGGTTCGCATCCACGACGGAAAGTTGACGAAGCGCGAGATCGTGGAGGCCGCGCAGGCAGTGACGGGTGCCGACGGCTGGGCAATCTCAGAGGAGAAAACAGCGGACGTGCAGGCGAAGTCGGACAAGGCTCTGTCTGAGGGCGTCTTTGACGAGTGGGTTTGGCTGGGATACATTATCCGGGCCTCGCAGACGGAGGAGGCAAAGCCAGGCTATGAGACCGTGCAGAACGATTTGTTGGGCCTCAAGGAGCACTCGACCGATGAGATGAAGACTTTGGTTCAGGAGATTGCTAAGTCTATTGTATCTGCTTGATCGCCTAGCTCCGATCTTCTCTATGAATTTTATGCCATCTGGTCGAGAAAATCTAGCCTGAGAAGTTAGAAGCACTCAACTTTGTCATGATAATGATCCAGCTATTCCCTTAAAAAAGAATATCAGCCGTATGTCATTGGTGGAGGCGCATATAGTGACTTTTAGGAGTCATCTCAATCAGATGGAAGTGTGCATTTATCTCATAGACAGGAGTTTGTTCAATGTCTCCAGCTTCTGTCTCTAAGTCACTCTCTAGAAGATCTATATGATTGAGCGCGCTTTCTAAAGATTGACGACTAGATCTGATGACGAATGTGTCTCTCTACATAGAGTCTATGGTGATCGAGGAAATACTCAATCAGGAATTCTTGAGACAGAATGTGTGATATATTCGATGAAGAATCTTCCTGTATCGTCCTTCTTGCCCCGGACTCCTAGATGCACGCGGTAGGAGAGAGTACGAATGGAGTGTCCTTGCCCATCAAGACCATCGTCGTCATTGGTTTAAATCACGTTGTTATCCCAGGCCCCAGGACAGAAAGCAAAATAGCTTTACTACAATTCTGGTTGTTCACAAAAGCAGACTTTCTAAACTGGACTCAGACTCTCAACCCTGTCCACAATATTTTCAGAGCCTCAGTCCATCCTGACTGAGATACGCATGAATGTCGCTTAGCCGTGCATCGATGGCGCTAACGTGGGTTGCCAGATCGATATCAGGCGGCATGTGGCAACTCTTCACTGCAACTTTAGCTCCCCCCAAGGGCTTCTCATTCAACCATGCCCCCTATTTGGGATACTTCCCATCCCCCACCATCTTGGCAGCGAAGTGTGGCGAGAGAGGATCATAGCGGTTGAGGAGCACTACATGGAGGGTCTACTGGCATTGACAACGCCAGTGGTACCGCATGTCGACGTTCAAGCTCACTGAATTTCTACCCCGGCCTAGGGTCTTGACACCACTTGCAAGAACAGTGCAAACATAAGAAGGGGAAAACGGATCCGACACAGCCGGTTGCAGAGACCAAGCCAGTTGTAACCTGATCACTTTCTTACATCGCATCTCAAAACACTTGAACACGTTCTGGTGACATGTAAGTATAAGACTGACTCAGCAACAAACTGATATGTAAACCACTAGTTTTCATATCCGTCCAGGGTCTTCATGGCTTGATTAGGTCGAACCGTCGGAGTTTGGAGTCAAGTCTCAAACCCCACTCGCAATGAAGATGCTTTGCTACGAACGACTCATGCTGTGGCCAGCTTCTGAAGATTTCTCAAAGCCAATCCCAAGCTTTGTATGCAATTGAGTCAGTAGTCCAGCATCGCCCGTGGTGCTGTGGCTGTTCCACAGGATGCGGTCCCTTACACGGCATGACCAATGCGCTCTTGACTCTTTGACGTTTTGTTGCAATGCCAGTCAGCAGTCTAAGTCCCCACGGATGAACGGCAACTCAATTCTGTTTAGATGAAATCGCTCAAACTTCTGGCCAAGGCGGCCACAGCCGATCAGGGTAAGCCATGGCAAATTCAGCCTACCAGACTCTCCACGTGGCCCCAAATCCTGAAATTGCAGCACCCTGTGCGACACTCACGTCAAGAGAAAATAGACGAACACAAGCATTCAGTCCCCCAGATCTTGCACCAATGACATCGAATAACACACGTCAAACAGTGTGGGAGACCAATCCTCTGATGCTTGTAAACCAACCGGGGAAAGGTGGTCAACTCTGGCCAGAACGCCCGTGTTAGTGTTCCTCCAATGATGAGATCCGCAGGCGTACATGTGCATCTGCAACGATAGTCAAAAGCTCATTATCATCGTTCTGGAACCGTCGTGGCTTTGCTTTCTGGGGGGTTTCTCATCAGAGGTCTAGAACCGGATAATGTGGTGGGCGTGCAGAATTTAGCTGCTTCTCAGGAACGTGGTAGGCAGATAGAATAATTATCATCTCTTGTGCATTATCTTGATCTCTAACTGAGCACGCGCTTCCGACTTTCCGAATATCAAGATTTCAGAAGGTCTTTAGAAGGCAGACGAGTCGGTTTCTTGGCCGACAACCCCCTGTAAACTGACTCGGAGCCGGATCTATCATCCGAGCTTTCCAAGCGGGCTGGGATGAGATGACAATTCCAGATGATGAACGCCGTCGGACTTACGAGCAAAGGGGCAACGATGCATCTCAGGATTTGAACAAAGTGATTATATTGACAAGTCTCACCTGACTGGACCTTCTCACGATGGAAGGTGATACTCGCTTCTTAAGTCTATCTTTCATTCTCAAGTCCATTTCTCAAGTCCGTTCCACAAGTCATTCCCTTAAGTCTATCTTTGACGCCACTCTTTTGAAACTTGAACTTATAGCATCACCGCCACCATGAAGTGCATTTGCATTCTTCCTCTCATCACCGCGACCCTAGTCGCCTCATCAGTCTTACCAAGCAGAGACCTAAGTACGTAACCTACAATATCACCACTCTCAACCCATAAACTGATTACTACTTCAGCCGAGAGACAAGCCAAAATGTGCAAAACCTTTCAAATCTTCAGAGACCCAGACGCCATCACTGGCGGCAGCCCCAGCTTCGTAGGCACGCCGCAATACTGCTGCCAAAACGAGCAATGTCACGTCATCGACCGCGTCGGTGGCATCAACACCTCGGCGAACTTGAACGACTTCCTCGCAGGCACTTTCATCATTGAGGATGCCCGCGGTTAAGATAAGGGGACGCCTGAGTCGAATGATATCCGGGGGGCTACGTATACTGTTGGAGCGCAGGGTGGGTGTAGCAAGTGAAGGGGGTTGTGATGAGTGCAAAGTGTTTCACGATGTAATTAGGGGTTATTCTAGAATACCCATGACTGGTACAGAAAGAAGAGGGTCTTCTTGAGCGAATGAGAATAGATGCATGGGTCACATGGCAAGGTCGCTAAACCACATCGGGCGCCGACAATGTGTGGGTCGGACATGAAACATCACATTCACTGCATTTTTGGCCACCCCAAGGGAGCTCTGTACCATCTAACAGATCAAGATGATCGGAATTTTCAAGTGATACAGAATCCTCCGGCATTACAAAGCGATTGACCCCCGTATCTCACTTCAGCCTTGATAAGCCATAAGAGCACATGTGCATATGTAGGCATCACCTCACTAAGTCCACCACATCCTATGAAGAAACCTTTCGAGGCAAGCATACCACCATTGAAAAGATAACAAGCTCTTGTCGACCGATCTGTATGTTGCATCCGAATGAACTTGGCTCTCGACGAGTACAATCAACTTCAACACCCTCTCAGCTTTCAACAGATTCACTGGATACTACCATACTCTAGTTCTGCCTTATAGTCAGCCCTGAACCAACCGCAGCATAAGAAACGCAGCTTAGAAAGCAGGCTGGCCTTGAACAGCTGATACTGCTGACTGCATGACGTGAAGTTGTCAACCTTGGTCTATCGTCGCCTCCTAATCAACGTCCATAATGATGAAAATCTCCACTTTTACCTCCAGGAAACAAGACCCCAGCCGCTCAGTCAGTGGTAGCTGTGATACACGCTACCTAAGTACCTAAGTAGCGTTCAAGGCTGGCAAGTGGTAAGTCAGTCATCAAATCTGACGAGGCATTTCCACTTCTCGGGGTTCGGGCCCCGAGGCTCAAAGTCTTTACACTGCATTTTTAACTCATGCGGAGGGAGTAGGGCGAGGCAGATTTCCTTCTCCACCCTCCAACTTTCACGGAGGTTGTAGATGAGACTGGCCGCTTCATGTGGCATGTGGGGGCCAATGGCAGAATAATCTTGCTCCGGCGGAAAGTTAGTCGCCTTCACTGCATTCTTGACACCTCCACAGGCAATCCTACACGCATCATCCGTCTCCTGGCACAGGTCACATATAGGGACAATCTCGTTCGTTCAGAAAATCTTACTTCTAGGTATCTATTAAGAGTAACGATAAGGAGGATGGGGAGTTTACTGTCTCTACAGCATCCCAAATGCAGGATATCAACAAAGTACACATGACATGGATATCCAACCAGCCCTCCAGAAAGGGTGGGCAAATGTCACACAGATATATCAATCTGTGATGACGGACTATCACAACGCTTCCTTCAGGTTCGCACCCAAGCTCTCCTTTCTCTAAACAGCTCGCTGGCCCGTACACACATGATCCCTCCCACATTTGTGCCATTTGCTCTCATTTTCTTCTCATCCTTTTCGTACAATGAAAAACTTTTGTTGCGAAGACGCACTTACTCGGTCTTCTTCTTGCCAAAGAGGCCACCCTTCTTCGGCACTCTCGCCAACCAGTACAAGCCCAGGGCGGCAAAAATGTTGAAGATGATGTAGACCCAGGCAATGCCAAAGTTCCTCCAGCGGTCGTTGTAGTCGCTCTTGACGCTCGCCAGGAAGACGTTAGTGTCCTGAATGGTGCAGAACTGGCAGTCGGTGGTGGCGTTGGGCTCGCGAAGGTATCCGCCAGCAGCCGCGATGTAGTTCTCGAGGAAGACTCTACAGCTTTGTCCCGAGGGAGGATCAAAGTGGAGGAACTCGTTGGCCGCACAGACAACCTCTGTATTGGCGACAGCCGTGGATAACATGCCTGAAACAATGTACGTGAAGGGCGATACACGATACATGAAGATCCAGAAGCGGGGGATGGAGTCGGGGTTGGCGAGCACACCGCAGAAGATGAGGCAAAGCATGAAGAGCAAATTGGCAATGTTGCCGCCAGCCTCGGCGGTCTCGAATCCAGCGATAATGAAGTCTGTGAAGGTCGAGGTGAACAGCAGGAAGACGAGCAGGTACAGGAACATCAGCGCACCACGCTCAGTGACCTGATCGGCGGGGATGGCGTTCTGGTACAGGCCGACGGGGTAGTACCAACAGAAGTACATAATAGCAGCCATGAGGGTGTTCCAGGGAAGTTCGACGATAATCTGGCTGAGCATGAAGACCTTCCAGCCATAGACCTTGGATGGCCGCTCTCGCACTTCGTACAAGGACCGTTGAATGACAAAGTGAGGCATGGTTTGCTGGACGAGCTGGCCAAAGACGGTGAGCAAGTTGAAGATGGCAAACATCTGATTCTGAAGACCCTGCTGGGTATTAGGTGCCTTGAAGAAAACGAAACCGATGAATGCAGCGACCAGTGTGCAAAGCGCAGCCTTGGCGTAGATGTACGAGGGGGTTCTCCAGTACTGTTGGAAGACACGGTGGGTAACCTCCTTGAGTTGGGCGAAAAAGGGGGCAGCAAATTCGCGGTAGCTGCCCTTGTCGTGGGTGGCAGGGGTCTGGACACCGCGCTCGTCCTTGAGTCTCTGCAGTTCGGCCTGGACCCCTTGGAATTCCTCAGACTTGCGCCAAGCCTGGTGCCAGTCGACGTCGGTGTGTGATCCAGGAGCTGCACCAATCACCTCCAACATCCACTCGGCCGGGTTGGCGTCGTGAGGGCAGGTCATACCGCTCATACGCTCAAAGTAGGAAGTCATGACCTTGGAGTTCTCACCAATGTCGCCGAAGTAAACGGTGCGGCCACCCTTGGCGAGGAAAAGAAGACGATCGAAACGCTGGAAAAGCATGGCGGAAGGCTGGTGAATGGTGCACAGAATGGCCTGACCACTCTTGGTTAACTTCTCCAAGAGGTCGAGAATAGCCCAAGAAGTTTGTGAGTCAAGACCAGACGTGGGCTCATCAACGAAGAGCAACAAAGGAGGCTTCGCAACGAGCTCGACACCGATAGTCAAACGCTTACGTTGCTCGACGTTAAGACCTTCTCCAGGAACACCGACCACAGCATCGGCGTATTCTTCCATATCCAAAAGCTTAATGACCTCCTCAACGTAGTCGAGCTTCTCCTGTCTCGGGACGTGTTCGGGTTGACGAAGGAGGGCAGAGAAGTTGAGAGCCTCGCGGACAGTAGTGGTCTGTAGGTGCAAATCTTGCTGTTGTACGTAACCAGTCTTGCGCTGGAAAGAAGCGTCGCGATGGTAACCATCAACCAGCATTTCACCAGTGATGACACCCATAGAGGTACGGTCAGCCAAGCAGTCCAAAAGCGTAGTCTTGCCAGCACCTGACACACCCATGAGGGCAGTCAAAGTACCAGGCTTGACCCAGCCATCGACGTGGTCCAGAATGCGTCTCGTCTCGTTCTTGATTTGGACCTCGTAGCAAACGTCGTTCCAGTGGAAGGTGGACTTTTGTTCCTCAATGAGACCATCGTTCTTCTCGTTGATGCGGGCACGGTCGGCGGTGGTGACGGGTCCGACGCGGATATCCTCAGGGTCGTCAGTGTGCTTCTCGTTAAGAGCAGCGGGCTTGTGTCCACGACGGAACACCAGGACTTCTCCCTTGGACTTCTTCTCCGAGACCAACTCTGCTGTGACCATGTATGTCATCAGGAAGAAGAGCATGAAGGCGATGAGGATACCGAAGTTACGCCAGCGGTTGGCATAAGAGTAGCGGAATCCGGAACCAACGTAGTCGTCGCCGTTCACGTAGTCAAGACCAGCAACGGAACCGACGGCACTGCACACACGCTGGGCGGATGGGAGATTAGCGTAGCCGGGAACGTCAGAGCGGGGGACGAATTGGCTTTCAGAGCAGGCGAAGTTGCGGCCGTGGAATTCGTTGACGATGAGGGACTCGAAAGAGTATGCCAGAGGATCGAGGTAATTGAGCCATCGGCACCAATCCAACATGTAGTCGATGGGAATGACGAAGCCAGTGAAGATGACCAGATCCAGGATGAGAATGGCGGCAGGTACCATGGCTTGCGACAGGGTTCGAGACGACGAAGCAATGGTTCGGAAAATCATTGACATGGTCAGGACCGTGAAGAAGGACATCAGAAGGAAGAAGAAGAATGCCCCGGGCTCGCGTCGCAGATTCGTCATGAAGTAGAGGACCAGGTTGAAGACAATTGTGTTCATGACCTTATACGGCATGTCGCACAGCATGGAGGCAACGGCTTCGGCAGATGGGTGATACAGGGCGTAACGGGAGTGCTTTTCGACAATCGGACGTTGAGCGTAGAGGGTCAGAATCTAATTTCAGGTCAGCTTATGAAGAGCTTTTCAACGACACGGTTCTATAACTTACCTCGAGGGCACTGGAGAAGGCGTTCATGAGCAAGGCGAAGAAGAGGAGGGCACCACGTTGGAAGAAACTCTGGGTGTCCTGCTGCAAGTTGTAGAAGACACTTCCAATAATGAGACCCATGACAACATTTCCAATGAGCGAACCGACAGTGATGCTGGGATCACCGATCAGACGTCTCCATCCACGCCACAGGCAAAGCTTGATCTGCTGGGCGTAGGACAAAGTGAAGGGAGACTTGGCGCGCTGGCCCTTGGCCTGCTGGGCCTTCTTCGAGGCACGGAAAGCCACGGCGTCAGGACCGTTGAGGGGATGAGTCTGCTTGTACTCTTCAATCTCAGCTTGCAGGGCGGTGTAGTTGGCGCTGTTCTTCCAGGCGGTAGCAAACTCGTCAGGGGTACGGGGTGCCTTGTTCTCCCAGCCGGGGCGAACGTGACGCTCCTGAGGACTCGTCATGGAAGTCAGGAAATCGGGAGTGGTGGCACGGGCGGGGCAATCGTATCCAAGGTCGATAAAATATTGCCGGGCATCAGTGGCCTTGCCGAAGAAGATCTGGCGACCCTCATACAGGACGGCAACCTTATCGAAGAGGTCATAGGCACTCTGAGGAGCCTGGTAGAT